ATCTGCCCTTCCTGCTATCACCTCCCCGCCCCCCTTTCTCTTATCCCCTTCACCTTCCATTTTCATGTAGGGCAGGATAGATTTCTATATCCTATTGGCAATGCCTTTCTTAAGGGTGTTTGTGAGGGATGGTGTTAGTGAGTAGGAGCCACTGCAATTAGAGACTTGCCAGGGACTGGGATGGTCGGATGCCTTGGTTAGTTAAGGGAAGGGAAGAGGGGAGGGAGTCTGCCACATTAGGCAGTAGTAGTAATGGAGGACAAGGAGAGGAGGATGCTCTGAGGGTGGTAATGTTTCCTTGCTGCTTGATCTGAATCATTCTTCTCTCTGGTGGCAGAAATTCGAGAAGAAGTTCCAGACAGAGCAGGCAGGGGGCTCCGTGTCACACAGCACTCAGTTTGAGTATGCCTGGTGTTTGGTGCGGAGCAAATACAATGATGACATCCGAAAGGGCATCGGGCTGCTGGAGGGTGAGGTGCCTAGTTCCCCAGTTCCTCTCTTTTTCCCAGTTTTCTTTATTGACAACTATAACCCTCCTATCCATCTCCTCTGCCATTGGTCTTAGCCCTTTGACTCATCCTCTTGTCTTAGAGGTCTTATTCTCAGCACAAGACTTCATAATGCAGTCAACTCTCAGTTCTGCATATGTGAATTTTCCCAAGACAATCCCAGACAGGTTTCTTTCAACACTTTCCTTGCCACTACCCTTGTCATTGGTTGGTAAATACTCAGATATTCATTCCTTTGAAATAGCTTCTCTGTTTGAAGCCTTTTATTGGTGGCTGGGGGCAGTGTAACAGATTTACCTGTAAATGTATTTCTCAAAAATTATGAGTTAAATGGCATTTTTATATGGTTTCTCATTGATAAAGAGACCCTTTACTAATCAGTCTTTATTGGTTCAGAAACTGGCTTTAAATTTTTCTAGACTTTGATAGAATAATTAATGATTAGTAAACACTAACCTTGCTATAGAAAAATTGGTCTGTAAAAAAAACCTTGGGGCAGCTAGGTGATGTAATGGATAGAACACTGGCCCTGAAGTCAGGAGTACCTGAGTACAAATCCGGCCTCAAACCAAACACTTGACGCTTACTAGCTGTGTGACCTTGGGCAAGTCACTTAACCCCAATTGCCTTAAAAGAAAAGAACTTTATTTACATAAAAGTAAGATTTTTTAGTGCTGCAAATAAGTACCCCTGTATATGTTTCAAAATTTTAGATTTTTTTTTTAAACACAGTAGTAAGATGGCTCTCCAGGCATCCAACTTAAGTTGTGTGACAGGACAACATGTAGAGATTTTAAAGGCCCTATGGCAGAACAGCACACCAAATTCAGTCTATAAAACAGAAGTCATAGAATAAAAAAACATCAAACTTGGGTAGGGGTCAATCAAGAAAGGCTTCCTGGAAGCAACTTTTGTGCTGGTATTTGAAAAGGGGAAAGGAACTCTAGCCAAATTATTCAGCACTGGCCAAAGCCAAGTAAAAGTGATGTGTGTGATACTGTTATTTTATAGTATTATCTGTGCCTTGATTTTCCCTCATGCAGATTAATGAGTAGACCTTGGAACTAATACTTCCTGCCAATGCACGCTGAAGCAGTGCATGTCATGTTAATGCCATCCTTGGAATCAGAGAGGGCTGGTTGGGGGTAGGTAGGGTCAGTGAGGGCCCAGACTAGGGCACTAACTTTCCCAGGGTCACAGAGGGCATTTCAGCCTGGATGTGGTTTCCTTCTACCCCTTCCCTAGAACTGCTACCTAAAGGAAGCAAAGAGGAGCAACGAGATTATGTCTTCTACTTGGCTGTGGGGAACTACCGCCTCAAGGTGAGGGACCTCCCTGGTTTCTCTCTTTCCCTTCTGGCTTCAGTGTGCTGTATTCTGAATTATTGCATTCTTAATTCATAATAGTACCATTTGAATGGGGAAAGGGCACTGCTGGAGTGGTGTTAGGGTGGAGTTAGTGTCAGTGAGTCAGGAAGCTGGAGGGAAGGATAAGGGAAAGATGGGAACAGGTACTGAGGGCATGGGGAGTGAGTTGGGTTCAGCCTCAAGTATCAGGTTGTTATCTCTCCTGTCTTATCTCCCCCACACAGCTGGTGCTGTTTATGAACTACACTGCATTAGACAGGCTTGGGATGGGCACAGGCGTGGGGGAGTATGGCCCCTGGTCCAGGAAGAGAGGGAGAAGGGAAAAACAGTGGGTGTCCTTTTTGTAAGCACCCATCTACTCCACACAGGAATATGAGAAGGCTCTGAAGTATGTGAGAGGGTTACTGCAGACCGAGCCCCAGAACAACCAGGCCAAGGAACTAGAAAGCCTTATTGATAAGGCTATGAAGAAAGGTGAGTCTTCCTCTCTTCCTGCCTCATATACCCCTCACTTGCAGCTCTCTCTGAACTCCTGACTCCTCCCAAGGTACCTTCCCAACCATAGCCCCCCATCATCAGATCTCCCAAGTTACCCATTGTCTGGTACTTGGAAAAACTTGCATTTTTCTCTTAGCCTTGACTCCTCACTCTCCCCAGAAGTCTTTATGCTCTTCAGGCCCATTCCTTTCTCCATGTTATTTCATAGGTAAACATTTGAGGAGGCATTGAGAGGCAATCAGTGGTATATCAGGGGAAGGGGATTTAGAGAATTGGGTTTCTCATTCAAGTTCTCACACTGTTTTCTTCTCTCCAGATGGGCTGGTAGGCATGGCCATCGTGGGGGGCATGGCTCTGGGTGTGGCTGGGCTCGCTGGGCTAATTGGACTTGCTGTGTCCAAGTCTAAGTCTTGAGTTGCTCCATCTCTGCTATCCTTGGAACACACCTCTGACCTGCCCCCCTCCCCACCCCCCGGGAGATGAAGCCGCCAGTTGGGGCCATGGAGTTGCTGATACTGAGGATGTTTAAAGATGGGGGGAGGGGGAGGGCCCTGTCTCTTTTGTACCTTTCTTTCTGTTCTACCCTCTTCCCTCCATCTTCATTCCCTTCCCAGTTTCTTCCCTGATTACTTCATGCCCTTCAATTTCTTTCCCGAGACTTGTCCTCCCTTGGGATTTTGTGCTTTGGTAGAATGTAAATAAAACTGAGGGCTCTGAACTGAGGCTTCTGTGTCTTGAATAAGGTGGGGATTAATGGGGGGAGGGGGGAATAGAGTGGCAAACAGGGATGTCATTCCTCTCTGGCATTTCCCAGTTTTGTGCTTTTTTTGTCTTATGTCCTCTTTTGCCCAGAAATTTAGAGGCCTGACTCTAAGCTCTCCTCCCCTATGACATTGAACAGTGGTAGCACCCAGAAGTGGTGGCATAGATCTCAGCGTGAGGAAGGGCAGAAACTAGGGGGCACAGTGGGGAAGAGCTGAGGTAAGTAAGACTAAATCTTAAGTGTCCTGTTGCCCTCTGACCCACTCGGCTGCAGCTGTAGGATGTGCAGTTTTCCGTACCAACTTGGTGGAAGGGGGTGGCAGTGGGTGGGGACTGGTTGCTATGGGTTTCTTCCTTTTAGCTTCCTTTGTAGCTCCCACCCTTCCCCTCCTTTTGTCTCCCTGCTTCCTCCATCAAGTCCCTCCTCTTGAGGCGGAAGGGGAAACTGAGGTACCCAGGGCTTGAAAACAGATGTTAAGGAAAAATCTCAGGATCTTAGATCCCTGATAATTAGATTTTGGATTAGAAGATGCAGACTCCAGTTTTCTCCCATTCCAGCTCAGTTATTGCCTTGCTCTTTAGCGTCTCACATCTCTGGTGCCAGGCCGAGCATCGAGTTGCTTCATCACATACTTCTCGTTCCACAGCCTACACCAGGCCCAGTGCAGGTTCAGGCCTAAGAGGGAAGGCACAGGGAGGAGGGAAGGGGGTGGAGCAGATACCTGGTGATGATGAGTGGGAGGTACAAGATGGGGTGGAGCAGACCCCTAAGTTTTAACCCATTCCGGCTTAGTGTGATAGCATGTGATCTTGTCAGAGGATCTTTGTGGGGCTGCAAACCAGGACTTAGCAGTGGATGTGGGGGAGCATCACTCCAAGCATTAGCAGCCGTATTCTTAGAGACTCAATGATCCCCCTTAACTTCAAGAATATTACCTGCTTTCCTTAATGGAGGGTGGAGAGTAAGGCTGATGTCCTACCAGCTCTCTTTGCCAGGGGCTGCCTGCTAGATGACAGGAAACTGGTCTTTATTCCTAAAAATCTGAATCCTTAGGCTCTAAGGGAGGGTGCAGGTGCTGAGAAGCAGGATCCCCCTATCTCTAAAAGGCAAGGGCACAGTACAGTAGCTTGTAGTTTCCAATCCATCTTCATTACTACAGTTGATGACAAATCCTAAGAACTCTGGGCTCATTAAAGGAGATTACGTGGGATGACGTTCAGGGCCTGTGACCTGTTCCCCTCCCTCCTTGGGTGCCCAAGGTCCAAGGTCAACCAGCATTCCAAAAAAAAAAAAAAAGCCGAGCCTTCTGGTGGGGGACCAGGGAGAGGGAGGTGGTGAATGGAGCTTGGGTTTCGAGTACAGTGGCAACATGTTTCCACTCTCATACCATCCCTTCAGTGAGGACCCAAAGAACCTCCCTTCTAATCCTTGGAGTGACTGGGATTGTGCTTCTTATCACCCAGGGGCTACTAGTAAGGGAGTCTTAAGACCATTCTGGCTGTGCTGGGGCGGGCCTTCTCTATACCTTCCTTAGGCACTTCCCTGCTCTTTTCAGCATCTCTTAAAATTAAGTCTTAGGAAGGGATAGACAAGAAGATAACAGGATTGGGTGGAAGAGGAGAAGGAGAGGACTACAGTTTAAATCTCTACTGTCGTCTCCCTGTTCTCTAAGTCTCCCTATTTCCCCCTCCTTCCAACATGCAAGTTGAGCCTATACAGATACACACCTCCCTCTGCCTCCCCCACACTGGCCCCTCCCTTCCCATGGGGTATCTTCCTGGGTATTTCCGTTAACTCCGGTCAATTCCTCCTCCTGGAGATGGGAGGGGGTGGGGAGCCTTAGGCGGACCTGGGGTGGAGTGGGGTGGGGGAGGAGAGGAGAGGGTGGACTTTTGGCCTGCTCATTGCATCTCATCTCTGTTGTCAGCAGCTGTAGCTCTCTCTGCTTAGTCCTGGAACTAACCGGAGAGCAGAGAGTCAGAGACAGATCCCAAGAGACAGACAGAAACTTGGCAGAGAGAAGAGCCCCCAAAAGAGAACAGAGAAGGAGACATTGGAAAAACTCAACGTGAAGAGCCCCAGTCAGAGTGAAAGGGAGCTCCTCCCCCCAGCCCTTTCTCGTCCCCCCCACCCCCCAACCCAGGTTCCTGACTTGCAGTTTCAGAGGCTCGGACTCTAATCTCTCTGCCTCCCAGGTGCCCCTAGACTTCCCATCATGTCAGTTGCTGTAGAGATACTTGGATTCTTCTTGGGTGCGCTGGGGCTACTGATGCTTGGAGTGACACTTTTCAACAGCTATTGGCGTGTGTCTTCTGTCTATGGCAATGTCATTACAACATCGACCATCTTTGAGAACCTCTGGTACAGCTGCGCCACAGACTCCACTGGTGTCTACAACTGCTGGGAGTTTCCCTCCTTGCTTGCCCTGTCTGGTACAATTTTGGGTGTGGGGGGGAAGGGGGGAAGGGACAGTTCACTAGGAAAAAGGAGCCCCAAAAGGGGAAGGAACAGGATTGAATTCCATTTCTGTTACTACCTGGGTGTCCTTGAGAAAGTCACTTAATCTCTGGGCCTTAGTTTTTCTCTTCTATATATAAGATATAGTATTAGATGATCTCTAATGTCCTTTTCAGCTTGGAATCTACATTATTCGGATTATATCCTCTACTCTGCAAGGGAGAAAAATGGGAAAGCATTGTGTCTGGCAGGCAGCTTGGTGTAACAGGAAGGATATTGAATGATTTTGGGCACCTCACCCAGCCTTTTCTGTGCAACCTCTTTGGGTCTTAGTTTCCTCTTTTATAAAATGGGGGAAGAGTAAATGGTAGAAGATTTCTAAGAGCTCTGACTCTTTGTTCTATGTTTTAAGGTCTCTTCAAGTTTTGACCCTCTGTTTTACAAATGGGGAGTGGGGAGGGCAGCACCTGCTTCTCAAGCCTCACATTTTACCTTGACTGATATAGCCCTGTACTATGCCTTGAGGGGCAGGGACCGTGGCCAGAAGTTACTGGTGAGAAGCCATGTGTCTGGGCTAGGCGTGTTGCATAAATTGCTGTGACTCTCACTGCACTTGGGATGGGGAATAATAGTGGTACCTTGAATGGCATCTGTCACTCTATAACCTTGAAAATTCATAATAGTGATCTGAACGAGCTGGGATAGATGCACCTGTAGACACCTTTCAGCTCTGATATTCTTTGGTTCTATAACTTCATACTGTATTCAGAAGGAATGACCTTCAGCTCTCACTGTCCGCAGTGGCCTGGGTGTGGTCCTCACTGTATGTCCACAGACAATCAGAAGGATCTCTCAGGATTCTGTGGCAGTTTCCCAGGCTCACTACAGGTTGCTGTGTCCACAATGTAATAACTTTCCTTATAGCTCCTAAAACAGCTCTCCTAGGTGGAAGAGGAGTGGAGCATGGGTTAAAATGATATCCTGTGGCCTTTACCTTTTCACATATAACATCATGACAGGCCCAAGTCTCAAGTCCTACCTTCCTCTTTTTCAAGCTTCACTTTAGCTTCCAAGACCTGTTTCTTCCCTAGGATGGGAGTCTACTCTTTCTGGCACCAGGCCCTACTTTCTGCTACCCTGGAACCTCCCCCCACCTCAGGCCTCACACTTCATTCCTTGTAGATCAGTGGTGTTGAGGTCAAATAGAAATGTGGGCCACTAAACTGTACATAAGGATCTCTGTGGGCCATATATTCACATTATGTTTTCTTGTATTTTTTAAAATTTAGTTAAATATTTCCCAAGTACATTTTAATCTAGTTTTGGCCACACTCAGGAGTGTTGTCGGCTGTGTGAGGCCATGTGTTTGACGCTTCTTCTATTGCCTGAGATGGAGAGGGAAAGATATTGACCCTGTAGAACAACAGAATTACAGGCTTTAGAGTTGGCAGGACCTTAGAGATATCTAATCCAAATCCTTTATTTTACTGAAGAGAAAATGGGCCTGAGAAGGGACCCAAGGTCACACAAATAATAAGTAACAGAGACCATATTTGAACTTTGTTCCTCTTGACTCCAATCTAATGTCTTTCCATTCTTCTATTACCTACCAGTGAGGTTGATACACCTTCCAAGGGTTTGAGGGCAGGAGAAATCTTGCATTTTACAGACTCCTAGGGAGGGTTTTATTGTAGCCTCTGAGCATCTCAGGAGCTTCACCCAGATTCACCCCACCCTAACACACCAGATTCTTTCCAGTGCTCCCCTCTTGGGAGATAGTTCCACAGGTTATTCCCCTGAATAGAAATAGAATGGTAGAAGCACAATTCTGTTCCCAGAATCCTTTTGGAAGCTGTCTTTAACCCTCAGGGACCTTAGAACTACAGATCATCAGAGCTGGAAGGGACTCGTTATAGTTAAGAATACCAAAGCCCAAATCATATACTAAGATTGTGGTTGAGCAGTTTGCCCGATTCCCAGAACAAGTCTACTGTATCATTATATCTCCTATAATAATATTCTCTAGGAAGGATGCTAGTTTTGCCATAGTCCTTAAGACGACCTCTTATCTCTGTGGGTCTGAGAAGGATCAGGTTTTTCTGGTAGGAGTGTGACCATACTACTGCCTAGGGATGATAGGGAGGAAGGAGCTGTTTATCTCCTTACCTTACTGTCTGGGGTGGGGAGCCCCTCCTGGTTGTCTCCCCCTCCCCATGTTGCAATTATTATTGACATAGTCTGTGATCTGATTTGCTGCGAAATCTGGGATAAGTCCATTCCCTTTTCTGTGGTGCAACTTCCTCTTTTGTGAAAATGAGGAAGTTGGATGAGAGATGGTCTTTAAGGTACCTTCAACACTTGACACTTGTGGGTCTCAGATTATTTTCTTCCCCCTCAGCACCAAAGATTTGAGGGTCCAGAGTTGAGGGCAGAGGGGTCTCATGAGATGGTGGAGAGAGGAATGGAGAGCAGTCATACAAAGGGGACAGAAACCTAGGAGGGAAGTGAAGGGCTCAGAATGGGAGTACTCCCAGAGTACTTTGTCCCTCCTTCGACCTTTCCCTGCCCTCCCCCCTGGTTCTGTAGTCTCTTTCCTGGCCATAAGCCAGTCTCTTACCTCCCTTCAGCAGCAGCTCTGCCCCACCCCAGGAGAGGGGGCCAAGGTCCTTAGGAGTATTGGGCAATTGTTGAGAGAAAGGAGAGAGAAAGTCAAGGAGATAGGTGGTGCTTGTAGTCAGTTCCTGAAAACTCGATGCTTTAGATTAGGAAAGGGGTAATACTTCTTACCTCAGCCCCAGGATACTGTTGTTGATCCTCCTCTCTTTTACAGGAAGACAAAGATCACACTTCAAAATGATATGGGGGTTTTCCTGAATCCTGGGGTCAGAACTGGTGGGATGAACCATTGTAAGGAAGGAAGGGGCTATTATAGGGAGCTCATGGGGAAATGGGGGAAGCTGAGCCCAGGGAAGGAGAACGTGCTATATTTCCTCTCTTCCACAGGTCCTGCAAGGGCTAAAGTTGCAATAGGGGCTAAAGGAAGGCAGAAATGGGTTTCTTTGAGAGGATGGGAATGGGGCATAGAGGCATGGGGCTAACCATTATGACCTTCCCTTTACCCCCCTCCCCCCAGGAACCATCCAGGCTTGCCGGGCACTCATGATCACAGGCATCGTTTTAAGTTCCCTGAGCGTCCTTCTAGGCATTATTGGCCTGCGATGTACACAAATTGGGTCTCTGACATCTGAGGGCAAGGCCAGGCTGGCTGCTGCTTCGGGGGCCCTGCACATACTGGCTGGTAAGAAAATGGGCACAATTGTCAGAGGAAACCTTGGACATTCTGGAGGGACCTGAGCGGGTTTGTCCTATTTATCTTGTAGCCCTGCCAAGCAGTATCACACCTGCCACTTTCATCTTCCACCTGAACTGCCTTATTCTGGGTATTGAGAAGAGATATGAAATATCAGTAGGACATAGTCCCTGCTTTCAAAGGAACTTACAATCTAATATGGAAGATAAAACATGTACACAGATAACCATAATGAAGAACCTTCAGTTTATTAAGTCCCTACTTTGTGCAAGGCATAGAGAACACAAAGATAAAAACAAAACTAATTGAGACTGAAGTGGGGAGGGAAAGGAGATGTGACATTGCACACAGGTGGATGTAATATAAGGTAGAACATGATAGAATAAGTGAGAAAAAGCACACCAGGAAGAGTTGAGAAGGAAGAGAACATTTGAAATACATAAGAAAATGCAAGAAAAGTGCTGTTGGAGTTCAGATGAAAGAACACTGAGGGGATAATGGAAGATTTCTCAGAGGAAGTAGTATTTAAAATGGGTCATGAAATATGGGAAAGATTTCAGAATGAAGAAAGGTAGGGTGTATTTCAGCTAGAGGAGATGAATGAAAAACAATTATTAAGTGCTTACTAAGCACCCAGTGCTAAGTGCTGAGAATACAAACATAAAAATGAGACAACCCTTGCCCTAGAGGAGCTCACATTCTAATGGGGGAGATAACACAAATAGGAGAGTAATGACCAGGGAAGGGTGTTTTAGTCTGGGAAGTTCCAAGGGTTGAGAGTGGAGGTGTAGGACAGGGCATTGACATCTAGAAACAATGGTTGTATTGATTTAATTACTGGAGGGGATTGGGTATGTGCTGGCTTGAGTGGATAGCAAGAAGAAGGCTGAGGTGGACGGCTGGATTTGATTGGAAGTATGGCTTGGGCTGTGTGAATTTGCTCTTACTTGATCATCAATCTGGACATCTCACTTTGAATAGAGTAATTCCTTCAGGGCTTGGTCTCTGGAGGTCAGATGGTTCTTTGGGTGCACAAGGCAAAGCTTGGAGTAGATGCAGGGACTTGAAGTTGGGGCCAGCACAGACGGTTGAATGGGATGTGAGAAGATGAAAAAGCAAAGTCACAAAGACAAGAAAGGGCAGATGAGGTAAGGAAACAGCAAGTCATTCAGAGCAGCTGGACAGCTCAGGGTAAATATATGTAAGAAAGTATGTGAAATCAGGTGGGAAAAAAACACTGGAACCATGTTGTTGTGGATCTCTGCTAGATTAGGAGTGACATGACTGAGGCATTAGGAAAATCATTTTGGGAGCCAGCCATGTGAATGAGGGATGTACCAGAGGAGGTGCTTAACCTTTTTGTGTCCTGGACTCCTCTGGCCATCTGCTGAAACCCACAGACCCCTCCTCAGAATAATGTTTTTGAATGCATAAAAGAAGATAACATAGGATAACAATGAAAACCAATTATATTGAAATACTTAGTCACATTGGGTGACTATTAAATAGATTGAGTCAGGGCCATTGTAATAGCCTTCTCCTTTGGCTTCTGTGATATCCACACTTAGTTTGCATCCCCCAAAGCTCTGTCCTGGACCTTCTTTCTCCCTCTTGATGATTTCATCATGGGGTCAATTAGTACCTTTATACAGACAGTTCCCAGATCTACCTCTATATCTAGCCCTAATCTCTCTCCTAGCTCTGTCCAGTCCCAAATAACCTACTGTCTATTGAATATTTCCAACTGGATGATTTGTAGACATGTTGAACTTAATATTTCCAAAACAGAATGCATTATCTTTTTCTCTAAAACCAGCTCTCTTTCAAACCTTCCCTGTTTCTGTTGAGAACACCACTAATTTAACAGATACCCAGTTCACTTTAGTGTCAGCCTTGACTCTTACTTCTTCCGCAGCCCCCATATCCAATCAGTTGCCAAGGCTTGTCAGTTGTAGTTCTGTAACATCTCTCACATTGCCCAATTCTTTTGGCTCACGTAGCATCGACCCTACTTCAGGGTTGATCATCACCTGTCATCTGGACTATTGTTTCCAGTCTCTCGCTTCTCCAATCTATTTTCCACCCACCTGCCAAATTGGTATTTGTGAAATACACCTTGTGTTTTAGGATGTAAAATACATTTGTCAGAAATTTCAAAAATCTTTAGTGGCTCCTCATTTCTTCTAAGATAAAGTATACACTCCTCAGCTTCACACCTAAAGCCTTCCACAATCTGGCTTCAGTCTAGCTTTCCTCGTTCCAGTCAGACTGGCCTGCTAGCTGTTCTTTGTATGTGAATTCTTTCTCCCACCTCTGTGTTCTTTGTGTGCCAGTGGTAATGCATATATAGTCTGTTGCAGTGTCCCCACAATGTAATGAGATAAGTGTGTGTGTTACGTTGAGGTCTGGTAACTACAGGTGCTGTGGAACATCATCCCTCCTACTACATCAAGCCTGGGGCTTTATACGTCTCAGCTAGGTGTGTGAAACATGCTACTTCTTTCTGGGTTTTGCTCACTCTTTGAACCTACTTTTAAAGTAGCAGGTCCCAGTTCCCAAAGATAGGCCACCATCACATGGTTACATTCAAACCCTCTCAGGGTCCTAAGGTAACCTTGTTGAGGAGAAATATACTTTTCCTATTCAGGACTCTAAACTCTTGAGCCCCCCATCTGTGTTTATCTTCACAGCCAGCCTTTCACAATAGATACTAATCTATTAAAGCAAATACATAAGTAATAAAATACATTGCAATACACATTCTTCTCAACCACTTGAACATTGATTTTATAAGCTCTCACAATTAACCATCATTCTTAACAGGGTGTTTAGAAAGGGCTAACTTTTTTTTTTGGTAGTAATCAGAAGCTTTATTTAACCCAAATAAAAATGTGCAAAGTATTTTACTCATTGTCTTCATTCCTTGGTCTAGCATTTGGATTGGCAATTTTGATGGCTAGCTGAGCTGCTCTCTCAACAGTGACTTTCCGATTCTTGGAGGACACTTTGTGAGCAATCTCGGCACAGTAAGATTTGTTGCACGTCAGAAGCACTTCTAGCTCTTTGACGTTGTGTACCAAAAACTTCCCTGAATCCACTTGGGAACATGTGTTTGGTCTTCTTATTGCTTCCATGACTAATATTGGGCATCAAGATCTAGCCCTTGAATCGTCTTCGCACCCTGTTGTCAATGCCTCTTGGTTTACGCCAGTTTCTCTTGATCTGTCAGACTGGTGCCGGATGAACTTCTTGGTCTTCTTCTTGACGATTTTAGGCTTTACGAGAGGTCTGAGGGCAGGCATGGTGCCGGTGAAGAGATAGTGGCCCCTCCAGGGGAAGCGCCGACAGAAAGAGACAGGGCTAACTCTTAATATGAACAGTGGTTCTCTCTAAGCCAGACAACAGCCAAGCTTATCAGACTGGCTATCTGAGGGCTGTCTAAGTCAGATTGGCTATCTCAGGGCTGGCTGTACAAATCAGTCCTATCACTTATCCACCCACCTAGGTGCTACAATGTCCAATTAGAAAGGAGCTCACTGCCACACTTAAGATTCATTCTTTTAATCCAGCAGGGCCACCAGAATTTTCCATAGCCTTCCCAACCCCCTCTGCTTTTCTTTCTGAAGCCAGAGGTGGCAGTAGAGAACAAGCCCTTCTGAAAAGCTTCGCCTCTCTTCAGCTCTAAGTGGCGCTCAAGGGCTGTCTGTCATTGTAGCTCATGGCTGAAAAAACGTCACTTCCCTGTCTAATCAGGAGTCAGTCAGCTGAAGCCCTCAGCTGATTGCTTCAGCCCCAGCTGGGGCAGAGCAGCTTTCCTGCCCTCCTGTGGTGTCTTCACTTCTGCGGTTCCCCTTCCCCTGCTATTACTGTTCTTAGGAGTTTTGCCCTCTTTGGCTGTCTAGAATGGCTTAAATGAGAACCATCTGATTCTCAGGGACTCCCTTGTTAAAAAATTCTAACTTCCCCTATTAAATCGTGTCTTTTAAAAAATCATAACTCAGGCTCCAAGTGTTTAAATGATTTCTCATTTTCTTAGTTTAAATGATCTCATTTTCTTAGTCTCTCATATGTAAAATACACATATGCAAATTAGGGGATATACGCATCTTGCCCTGCTCCAAAGTCTCCAACAAGGTAGTCTGCCTCTTTGGTGCCCTCGAAACTATATTTTGTCACACTTAATTTTTCTGCTTTTTAATATATGAAAAAATCTGCCTCTTTGACATTAAACTATTCCCATACAAGCAAGGCATCAGGCCACATTACTAACAAAGTGATCTGAGTCCTCAAATCTATAGCACATAACATTTTCTCTCCCAAACTGCCCAAATCCCATTTGAAAGCTATGATTCTTCATACCCACAGTTTATATTAAAATAAAGGTTCTTTTACTCATTAGACATAAAATGTTCATCCATAACAGTGGCAATATACCATATCATTTGATGATCAATATAAATCTCTACCTTCACACAAAAACACTTTTTCTTTTCATCATTAAGAGCTCCTTATGAAAGGGGCTTTAAAGAGACAGTCTACCGCACATGTGTATGAGTACAGCTCAGTTGCCACCTCGCATAAGAGGCCTTTATTGGTTCCACCCACATCCTCAGTTACTAGCATTTGTCTTCCTAAAATTACTTTGTATTTATCTGCATACATATTGTAGCACACCAGGAGAACTTAGGTTGCTTGAGGACAGGGATTGTTTTGTTTTTGTCTTTGTATTCTGGCCTAGTGCCTACTATGGTGCCTAATAAATGTTTGTTGAATTGAGTGACATAATGAAAACCTGAACATCGATGGCAGTAGTGGAAGTAGAAAACAAAAGGAATCGAATTTCATAGGTAGAAAAAACATGACTTGGAAGCTGACTGAATATATGCTGCTAGGAATACAGTAGGAATTCAGAGGGGGAAAAAAGAACAGTACTATCTTAAAGGAGTTTATATTCTCCTGGGGAGATATAGTATGTAAACAAATTATTA